GAAATTAGGTAACATTTTTTATTTACTCCACTGAATGAAGAGATAAAACAGAACTTCAGGCGTTTTATCCTCCCCTCTTCAAAAATCAACCACAGCACCTTAGACACCAAAAATCCCAAATTAGTTTACATGCTTTGAGTGCCATCCATCTTGGAGAAAAGCATTCTACAGGCAAGAACCTGCCCAGATAAAAATTATACCAAAAAAAAAATTAAGAACTAAAGAGCAAAAAACTGAGTCTCTTAAAAGTAAATTTTCTTGTAGCTAGACAGAACAAATTCAGGTTTAAAATACTGGCCCAGAACCTTACAGTGTGTTCTATAGAGGTGTTGATTTTTACTTGCTGAGGTTTTCATTACCAGTACTCATCATCCCACAAACATTAGCACAGGCACACACAGACTTTTGGTGGAGTTGGTGATTCACCACCACATACATATTTTCCACCTAAGAATGTTTGTGGTGGGGCCCCTGTGACTCACCTCCACGGCACTTTCTTCCCCATCATCATGGTCCCTTGGTGGGGTGGTGGTGATTTATTAACCAACAGCCTGTCATCTGAACTTGAGCAGTTTGCCAGATGACTACACAGTGACTTCTGCTTCCTGAGGGAATTCAAAATGTTCCTCCACACCAGTCTGTATGAGTGTATAGCACTCATCACTGCACAGCATGTGAGCTTTGAAAACAGAGCAGTTCCACTACTGTTCTCACTTTGCCTTGTCCTGTTTCACTGGAACACTATGGTGAGGTAACTACAGAACACTAGCAAAATGAACACTTCAAAAAACTAACAGTACTGTGAAGGACTTCCAGACAGCCCATCAGGCTGAACCCCAGCACCAGGAACAGAATCTCTCAGCTATGACATTACAAAGTTAATGATGCTAACCACGAGTCCAGTAGCACACTTTGTGTTCACTAACTACAGAGTTATCCCTAGCAAAGTTGTCTATTAGGAAATAACTGTTATTTAAAAACCAGAAAGGAATCTTGAGGCAGAAATCAGGAATTTAAAAATAAATAAACAAAAACCCACAAAAACAAAAGCAACCAACCCACCAAAGAAAAGCAGCAAAATAACCCCCAAACACGTACTCCACAGACAAACTCCTAAAAAGTTCTGTCCTGGAAGAAAACCAGAAACAACTCTGAAGAGGCCAAAACATGGCACACACACAGAAGACTTGAAAACATTCAAATCCAAAACGTGCTGCTCATACACATTTCCATATAAGCATTATAATGTTTGTAACTAACTCTGATGCTGTTATAAGGGGTGCTACCACACTCTCCACCCCCAAGAGCCAAGTCTTGTGATTGTTCATATCTTAACTAGTCAGTTGAAGATATAAAAGGTGCTGAAAGCTCCAGAAATAAGAAAAAAAAAAATTGGCCTGTAGTCACAGTTAGCAAGGGAAGATTTTTCAGATGACTTTTAGGACTCTTAAATTATTATTAGAGTTAATTACTTTTCTCTGTGGTATCCTGTCACAAGCTGTGCATTTGCCCTGTGTTTCCAAATAGCTTTCAAATAGAATAATTTCAAATATAGGTATTAGCTATTTCAGTCGTTTCAATAAATATTTGTACTTATTTTTTATGTCATTATCTAAGACATACTGTTTCTTTTCTTCTCAGCTGTAGAAATGAGCCTATAGATCAAATCTCTAGTACCCTGCTCCACATTCTGCTATACTTGAGTTTACAGCCATCAGTGCTCTCCTTGTTCCTTGCTCATCTATGCCATGACAAATTTAAACAGGTAGCACATTCTGTGCTGCTGTCACTGGTGAAGAGTTACAGCCCAGGCATGGGCTTAATAAAAAAAGAAAAAAAAGGTATATTATTTTGGCTGTGGTCCTCATGCGCTGTAGTGAGAAACTGATGCTATTTAAACTTAAGAACACTGTTTCTTTTCCATCATCTGCCAATCATTCACAGTTTAGATTAGCAATTACTTCTACACACATATATAAAAAGATCCCTACTGCTCTGAAATGCTAAAACTCTCTTAAAAAACTTTTTTTCCCATGAAGTAGGCCACCCTGCAAAAGCAGATAGAAATTCATGCTGTGTGCAAAAATTCCCAGATCTGTTACTTCTATGACATTTGGAAAGATAATTTATTTATAAGTAACTCACATCTTTCCTATCACTGTTAATTTATTTTCTCATTATGTTTGCACCTATATACTCAAAATTACTGATTTACAAATGAGAAAGAGGCACAGGAATAGCAACATGATCGTGCTGTATGCTGCACATTGCACTATCCCTTTGAAACAGGAGAATGCACAGGTATATACCAAAGGAGCACATTTATGGCTGTCCAAACCATTAGAACCAACATTTACACCTTAGAGAGTCAGTGTATCAGTGACTGCAGACAGCAGAGGAGTCATCAGAAGTATGAGCACAGTTAAATAAATCAAAACCCACACCTCACACGCCCCTCTAGCTATAATAGGTTGCAACTGGAAAAATGTGCAAAAAAAAATATTCCATAGGAAACCGAGCAAGAGCTTGCAACAGCCCACTGTCTCCAAAAAACAAATCCCAGCCAGCCTTTCTGTGCATACCCTCTGACTCAAGCTGGGGTGTAATGGAAGAGGATGAATAAAACAAGTATCCACCTCAAGCGTAATAAGGAAGGAGGCTATAAATTCTCAACCAATTACTCAAACCTCATCAGGATGTGAGCCCATAGCTTCCTCCAACTCGTGCCAGAATGGATGTGGTTTTCCAGCTGTGTAGACAAGGAAGCCCTCAATGCTGTGAGTCCATCCCATAAAAATACATTTTGTTTACATTCAGATTCAAGGAATAGGACCGAAAAGGTTGCATTCATACAGGAGATATTTGTGACAATTGAATGCAGATGGAGGTGGAGGCAGTGTGGCTTTACCCCCCAGCCTGTGGAGATGCCTCCTTTCCCCCCCTGCAGTCAGCAGGCACAGCACCAGTCCCGAGGCAGAGAAGGTGAGCAGAGCCTCCTGACACAACAGGGCACTCACAGCCACGGTAAATGGACAGCTCAGCTCAATCCTGGCTGCCACTGCCACTTCAGATGCTGCAGGTTATCCTTGCCAGAATGCAACCACTGCCCCATCAAACCATCTTACACAGAGAGCCCTTGGTATGTGCAGCACGGCATGTGACCAAATGCAAAACCACGACAGAAAAACAGCAACACCCCCAGAACACTGCAAGTCTCTCCCTAGCTGGTACTAAGAAAGCTTTGCTTCATCTGCATATATTCTAGTGCCAGATTTATAAATAAAACAAAGGGAGAAAACCTCAGCCTGTAATACCTGTATATTGTACAGAATAAAGAAACAACTTACAGCAGACATGTATATATTGTAAGAGATGCATATCCCACAATGCACCAAGTCCAAGATCACACAGCATCTTCTTTCCCTGCTATCCAATTACCCAACTTCTACACTCATGCATGAGACTTGATAAATTTTAACCACCATTTTAAAATAAAATTTCTGATTATTGCTTCTGCAACTTTTATGAGATTAGATTCTGGAAGCAAAATTGAGACACAAATAACGACAAATTTTAAAAAATATAAACTAGTGCTATATTCATGTGTTAATCAAATGCACATAAATACTTTTACTAGTGTTTTATTGTCTATAAATTAAAGATCTACACAATTTTGACTTTTTCTGGAACACATAGCAGCAAAAGCTTGAACAACTAATTCTAAAGCATAAAATGCATTCATATACTTTGTAAATGCCTCTTGCACTGAATAAAACAACCAGTATATTCAAACTGGCTTTATTCCATTTCTTTCTAGTCACAATTCCTTAGCCTGAATTACACGAGAAAGTCCATGAAGCATACAAGCATTTATCACTCAGTACATGCAGAATTAGGTATACAGAAAGCAGCACTGTATCACCCAATAACTTTGTTTTCATAGCTTTACCCAGTGCATCTTTTGTTATGACAGCTGCAAAATCACCCCATTACTCAGCCCTCTCCTCCCTGCTCAACATTACATCCCTGTTTGCCTTTTGCCCACATCCATTCACACAAGTCCTGCTACACTGGCAAAGGCTGAAGGTCCACATTAGCTGTGGTACTAGCAGTTCCTTTTTGGTTCCCTCACAATCAGGCTTAGAGCATTTTTCTCTTCAGTAGTACCAGTGCTAGAGTCTGCATCCTCAGTATTGTTTGTTTCAGCTACTGCACTTTCCCCCTTAGCTGCCTTTCATCATCAAATCTGGCCCCTAAAAACTCTTCTCTTGTACTAGCAGAACCCTGAGGTTGACCACACTCCCCTTATTTATACATCCACATATTGTCTCCATGTAGGTCTTCTCCCCTGCATTTGCCTCTGGCTACTGGGGAGTTCAGCTCAGTAAGAGTCACCAAAGAACTGGCAAAAGCACCCAATATACCCTGTCAAGACAAAGGAGAACCAACGGTGCCATCTTTTCCAAGTCTGAGATTTTGCAACAGGAGAAATTATCTCAAAGGTGGAAGGATAAAATGGGAAGGATTTAGAGTAGGAATCACAGAATAACCAAAAGAGAGAAGAGGGTGAGATGAACCTTTGCATAGACACCAATTACTCCCTCCCCTTAGGCAGAGGCTCAGCAAGTGACCTTGTAGTAGTACAGCTGGGAAAAGCAACTTTCAGAAGTGTTTCACCACGTTGGAAGCTGTTACATTTATTTCCTCACAACTGCATAAGCTAAATGAGGAATTTCAGAGCCACGTTTTAAAATAACTCAAAACGTTTTAGCATATTCATTAGACAGCTGTGTAAATTCTGTCTCCTGCCATTCTTCTGATCACTCCAACAGGAAATGCCACTCTGTAAGCTGGCACTTCTGCAAAGCAAATGTGATATTGTATCGACAGCAGACTAGTCAGTGCAAACCTCTGACTCAGTGCTTTTTGGCAGTTCCAACAGCTGCCTCAGGAACAGGGCAGTGAAGAGCCAAACCAAAGGTAAAAATCATTAAATCTCCTTCCCTGAACTCAGGAAAATCTACCTCCAACAAAACCAGGGCTCCATCCCACCCAAGAGTTTTCAAAGATGGCCTGATATGCTTTGGTGCCTACAGTATTAAGATCTTCACATAGATGCAGGTATATACAACAGCATTACAAGTGGAAGAACAGATGAAGTATTCTCTTCTAAAACACAGATCCACACTCAATGCTTTTGCCTGCAAGAATTTAATGAACCTCAAGAAAAGCATTGAAGATTTGTCTGAAATTGTAGGGTTTACATTCTTCTTTCTTATTTACACACACTTTATAAGGCATCTTCCAGTGCTGCATAGATTTCCAAGTACAGTTAATTCACTACATGCTAACAGAGGCAGCTTTAAGACTTGAAAACTATAGCCAACAAAATCTGTAAAGCAGAGTTGGAAAGTTTTCACTTTCTCCTAAATAAATCATACTCAAGAAGCAAAACTTGGTAGACAAGTTGAATATTCATAGAGAATTTAGACATTTAGAAGACTTCCATGCAGAGAGATTTTTGAGCCTTCAGGCTGCAAGTTTTTCATGATGGAATTGGCATGAACTTAAAATACAGTCTAAGTAACTCTATCAACATGGCAAATGACAAAGAAGGCAGCCTTGCATGAGTCCTCCCCACGATCAGGGCTTGCTCTTTATCCCTGCTGTTAATTATGATGAATACAGAAGGTGCAAGTGGTTCAGAGCCAAGGAAAATCCTTCTATGTTTTTGCAGTAAGCTCTTAAGTCTGAGTTTCCAGTATCATAAAAAGGTAAGTAATAGGAATAACATTACAATTCATTTACTACAATGCCATAAGTCTGCTATAAATTGTTACCTTCCTACGTAAAGCTAGCAAAAAGCCCAATTAAGACGCCATTAAAAATACAGAAATAAATACTGAACAATGCCAGTAAGAGAGCAGACTCCACAGACCTCGGTCCCTTGAAAGCCAGAAAGAAGCTATCCTTCACAGACAAATTTATCAGAGTACAATGACAACATTCAATCCATTTTGTAGAACTTTGTCAGAAATTTTAAAGTAAAAACTCTAAGGCAGTTAGAAAAAGAGTTACAGTAAAAGCTGACAGGAGACCAAATAAATGTAATGGCAAGGACATTGTCAGAGTTGTTTAGATTCCATTTCAAAACCAGAAAGAATTCAAAATGTGATCAAACATGGGCCCAAAGAGATTAAATTTCTTGGCTAGGTCTTATATTGACTAACAGCCTCTGAGCAATAAATCACATAATCCAGGAGTTTCTGCATTACAGCTGCACCTACATTCTGAGAAGTCTTCAGCACTGAGATTGTGCTCTCCCAGGTACAGGTCCAGCCTGTTTTCCTCTTGTCCAAGCTGGACCATGGTAGTAGAGGACAGCACACTTCCTGCAGGCAGTGCCAGCTGTCACACAGGCAGTGTCAAGAGGACAAATCCCTGAGCTACACACACCTGCAGCAGAACCCACTGCACTGCGTTCCCAGAGGGGGTGAACAACAATAAACACTCTACCTCTGTCTTTAGACTTTTTATAACTAATGTATTCCTGCAGGAGTGGAAGTTACTGGCAACAATGAACGTTGCTGACCAGTAGACTGTGGTCAAAAGATGCTTACACAGCCTTGGACCTGATACATATTTGAGGTAGTTGTGTTTTAAACAAAATAAAGACCAGTCCGGGCACTCAGATTTCTTATTTTCTCAGTATAATTGTGTGTGGTCTCAGGGCTTCATGCTAATTTAGATGAACTCCTTGTCCTCTTATTAAGTCAGAAGAGGGAAAGGTATTATCCAAATGTCTCAAGTTTTCAATTTGATGATTTTCAGCTACTTAGTACTACCACCTCTTCCAAGAGGTGCATTTTCTCCTCACTTAATTTAGCGGCTCCAGCTTCCCACTGCACTACTCTCCTAACATCAGCCTGACTGAAAACAAAAAAGCCTATTTGGAGTTTCTGAGGAGAGACAGCTGAAGTTGCACTGAGAGCCACAACTCAGTTCCTGCCTTAGATGGGGTATGGTTTTTGCATGTCTCAACAAATAAGCCCATAATTAGATATAACTACAAATTTAGTAGCTGCTGGTATCTCACACATTAATAAAAAATTAAATACAGCATTCTCCAATCCCACTTAAACCATATATCTATCTAAAACTACTCATCCATGAAGGCATACTGTGCTGTGAAGGATCTCAATAGAAGCACCCATTTTCATGTTCTGCAATACAAGAAAAAACTGTGTTACATGGGCCTACAGATGTTAGAGGTGCCAGTATTTCATCTTTGCTCTCTGAAGAACAGCAGATGCCACCATACCAGAAATATTATAATGAGAAATGGGGTCAGACTGATATTAGTGAGCTGCTTTGGGTGCACAGGCATGCTGTATAGACGGGTGTCTGGAGGCTCAGGACACTTGCAAATCTACAGTTATAGATCACTCCATGCTCAGAGCCTTATATGGAGCCAGGAGTGCTTCTGCCATCTGGGATTCATTCAAACACACTCAAAACCCTTCAGGTGTAAACCTCATCCCTCTACAGCTTCAGTGTCCACCTCCACACTGTCACCCAGGAATTTCCATACAGTAAGGCTACAAGGCAGGTTTCACCACTGCCATGCCTTTTTACTTCTTTTCCATGGCACCATAATTTTTCTTTTTACATATATAATCTACCTTTCACTTCTTAGACCACAGATTTTAAAAACATAAAGTCTGTGCCTAAGTAAGGGTCACCTCTTAATTTTCATTCACTCTGTGCTAGCTTCTTGTAAGTGATACGGGTGGTAGATCACAGAAATAGATGAAAATCTCACACGGAAAAATCTTTAAGTTATGTAGCTCTCCAACTCAGCAGTTGCCAGAAAATGTGATATTTGAATCAAAAGGCATACCAGACTTCTCAATTACCTTACTTCGAAGTAAAAGCAAGCAAGGCATTGACATTTATGATTAACAGGAAAGAAGACACTGTGATGCTTGTATTACAGTGTGGGATCATAGCTGTGCCAAGCTTACCTGTTTCTATTAAAACTCCATCTAGTAAAGCTGAGAGCTGCAAGTAGGACCATCAGCACACTCTAGCATCATACAGCTTTCTCTTCTTTCTGTCATATACTGGATTCTTACCTCCTTTCATAAAGCTTGAATAAACCTAAGAAATTCTATTCATGCTTTTAGCTTGGAATTTACACAGGTCATTTGTATTTAGGAAGCCCTTCCATCAAACTCAAACTAAAAAAATATCTTCCTTGTACTCCTGCCCTTTCAAAGTTGTGTCATTTAGAAAGCTGTGTTTCCAAGAAAAACACAACAATTACGTAAGTTCAGCTTCCATTTTTACCAACTTCTGGTTCCTGTTGTGGACTAGAATTATGCCCATTTTACTACAAATATTTGTTTCCTTTAGTGTCTGAGGCCCGTCTTAAAAAAGGGGAACTTTCACAGGAGTCCACTAGCCCTCAACTACTCTAAAGAAACATAAGTGGCTATCTATTTGAGGAACTGTTTTTCTAAAGCCAGAGAGAAATATTTTAACTTTGGATAGAATGCAAAATTGCCACTCAAGTCAGCAAAATAAGTGTCTGGACAACAAACCAAAACCAATAGTGATGTGCCACAATCTTTTCCTATTTACACTGGATAAAAAGAGGGACACTGGATAAAAAGAGGGACACTGGATAAAAAGAGGGACACTGGACACAGACCAAGCAAATGTTAAAAGAGTTCTTTTTTCTAGCAACTTTTCAATTCCAACTCCTATCCAAGTCTCCCACCCTCTCTACTGCAATTAATCATCCTGAACAATGTGGTACCTACTGGGGTTTTTTCCCCCTCTCTGCTCCTTGTCTTTTGAGACAAATGCCTTGAATGAAATCATTCAACCCCATGAAGGTTCATAGCTACTCTTCACACCTTTTCTGCTGAAGTTTCCATCTCTTCCTTGTACAGGCAGCAGAAACAAAAGCTGCCAAATTTCTCTATATATAGCAACTTACCCTTCCATAAAGGCCTGTGACTAACATCTCATTTCTGTTATTGCTGGGTTTACTGAAGCCTGAAGAATGCCTGAAGAATATTTTCAGGCCATTCCTTGTGCCCATTCAGGACTCTGATTTCCCTTTCCAAGGCTAGAGCGTTCCCCACACAGCTGCTGCATCTCTCCATCCTGGGGGATGTGGGATTTGCACATCTTTGCCTGTGTGACTTTCATAAACTGATGCTAAAGTGCAACACCTGGACCTCAGTTTTTTGCAGGCAGGTCTTTATCACTCCCTCTCCTCCTGAACAAAGTTGCGCAATACACATTCAGAAGAGCACGGAACAGTAAAGAAGAAACATAATCTTACTTGAGTAATAGAGACAAAGGAGACCTTCACTGAAGTTGAAAAGGCAGAGCTTATGGGATACAAAAAGAATGAGGAATAGATGGAGGTGGAGAAATGAATAATATTTTGTAGGCTCTTATGTGGTCTGACATTTTTCAACTTTATAAAAACTCAACTTTCCAATGAAATGCAGAATTTGCTTATTTTCCAGGTTCATTCACAGCCCTCAATAATTACACGTGTGCATTTATGTTTGAGATTATTTTAAATTCTGAGCTTCTTGCCAAATTTCATTGGCGGATAAACACCTTTAAGTACCTGAAGCTAAATTTGGGTTAAGTAATATTTCTTGTTCCTCCTTCTTTCCTGGAGTGCTTCCATGTGCTCATACACAACTGCTACACTCCACTTAACTGATGACTGATGTTTTTCACACCCATACATATTTTTTCTGAGATGTGCTCAGCTCTAACTTCCTATTACTATGTAACATACTGAAATTTCAGCAACTGCTGTCGCATTACATGTGGCTGGTTTAGACTTATATTTTACAGTGATCCCAGAACAACTAATTAAGCATGTACTGTTTGACATTTCTTAGCAGGGACTCTTCTCTAAAACTTAAAAAAAAAAAAAAAAAAAAAAAGGGAACTAAAGTATAGCTGCTCAAAATCGGAGACATCTATCCTAAACTTGTAGGACACATTTTTTGTTTCAATAAAAACATTTTTTAAAGGAAAATACACAAACCCAGGAAGTGATCACAGCTCAACATAGAATTTTTAAAAAAATATATAAGCATCATGTAATCTTCCATTACCCCCCAGATCTGTATGTAGCTAAAAACAAAATAGTATTTCTGGTACTAGAGAATAACAGCCCTGTAAGGCATAAAAGGACTTTTAGCAGTGAATTGTTTGGGATTTTTTTTTCCTTCATTAATTCTTAATCTCTGTGGAAAACTTCTGTTAGTCCATGATTTTCTTAAAAATGAAGAGAAAATTTCATCTCTGGAAAAAGTCTACTCAGGAGATCACAAACCCCTGCCAATCTTAGGTTTTTAACCTCATTAAGCTCCTTAGACTGCTTTTGGGAGGCTTTCAGTACTCACAGAATAAAGAGCAAACTCTCTCAAATGCTGAGATGCCACCAATGACAATGAATGGCCTCGGACCTGGAGTGCTGGAAAGCCACCAGCTCTGGCCAAGCATTTGCTATGTTTGCATTGAATTCTTGGACTGGGTTCTAAATTCAGGCTTTGGCACTGGCCCATTTGTATCCCTAGCAGTAATAAAATATGCAGTTAAGAATTTCATACTGTTTTAAGAACCTCAGCTGACAGTGCCCTCAATACGAACCAAGAGCTCTCAGAACATCATGGAGCAAGTGCTTCAGTCCTGATCAGATAAAATTTACTTAAGTACAAGCTCAGATTTGATTTGACTGAGAATACTTGCTAGATGCATTTGAAAAAAAAAATAATGTGAGAACCCTTGTAAATCTACAGAATGTTATTTCTTTTCAGAAATGAGAAAATACCTCTATTACACTCCTTCACTTCCAATTCCCAGCAAAGACCTACAGCTGGTGAGCCCAATATCAACACCCTCCACCGAGTTCCACCAGGGGCTGTTGGGGAAACTGTTACAATATTAAGACTTAAAATAAGTCTGCATTATAATAAAACTTCATACCAAAGTGTCAGGAAGGTTCCCTACTGAGTAATAATTAAAGGGATAAAAAATGAGAAGCCCTACAATTCCTCAGACAAAGTAATACACAGGCTGGATGGATAGATGGATATTCACAAGCACCATCCCACAGCCCTGCAAGCAGATCTCACTTTTTTCCATATGATGCATACATTACCTGGAATTCATCAGTTATCCCCAGCACCCATGTACCATTAGAACTCCACAGGGATTTGTACACAACCACTAAGTTGCATATCATTATTAACTACTTGAAGAATGCACCAACTCTGCATGACATTAATCCAAAATTACACACTAAAAGAGACAACACACTAAAAGAAGGTATTTATACAAAGTCATGGAATGGCTGCCCTTTGCAAAAGGAGCAGAGCACTGGGTGAAGAGAAGAAAAGTGTGGGTAAACAAACTGATGTTTGGCTGCACAAAAATAAGTATTTTAAGTCTATGATGATTAAAGTATTTCATTGGAGAATCACTCCTAGAAGCATTTAGCCACTAAGTCAAAAAAAAAAAAAAACCTCGAAGAAATCCCGAAAAAAAACAAGACAGCAAAGCTTTTTATATGGCATCTTTTAATACAATGTATCACAGTACTGTAATTTAGATTAAAAATAAAAACAAATTAAAAATAAATAATAAAGCTGTGCTAAATAAAGTCCTCTGAATGGTTTTGGCTGTACAATTTCATAAATGCCACACACAAAGATCCAGCTATGAGAACACCAGGATTTGTGGATTAATATCTAAAAAATTATTGAAAAATAAAAGCCACTCCAGGTATTCCTACCAGAAGTTAAGTTTTTAAATAGCACTGCCTAAAGGAACTTGCTCAACTTTGATTTCTCACTAGGAAAGTATAAAGCAGAAAACTTCTCCTTTAGAACATTACCCCGTCAGTGAGCTGTATTTTAATTACATATACCATGAATGTTTACTACTGAAGTTTGTTTACTACTGAAGTTCTGTAGTAAAAAAAGCTTCTTCCAAGCAGGTTAAAAGAGCTCCATTGCTACAGAACCCAGGTACTCAGAAAGTCATCTGCATAAATTAAAGAACAATTACTGTGTAATTTCTCACTGAGGCTGAAGCCAGACTTCACACAGCTTGTCACCCACAGAAGCCCAGGACTTCAGAGCTCCTCTAAGCCACAGGGCATTGGTTATTTCTGCTACCCTGATCAACCAGATCCTACCTAGAAACCCCCTTTCTGGACTAAGGCTAATCCTGGCCTCACTCAGGCTCACCTGAGGAAGTACTCATTAGGCTAATAAGGAGGGCAGTACAGGAAGAAATTGAGACACCTAATCTTCTTGTGGAGAAAAAAAAAAAACCCTGAGGGCATATATCTTCAAAATAAGACTGCTAATTTATATTGTGATTTTATGTTTTACAACTCAATTGGCCAACACAGTAGAGGAGCAGTAACATTGAACATCAGCCTGCTGTATTGCAAATAACTATTTCAGACTTCCCTCTGCCAAGTAGCCTGAGGTATCACCAATCTATGTCTCATGTAAACATACAGAAATCTATATCAAACCTTCTCTGCCTTCTGCTAATCAGTTTTGTCAAGATTTGGCCACTAACCAGGAACTACGACTTACAGTCAATATAGCAACAGGCCTCCAAATCATTATGTTCACTTCAGAAGAAAGAAAAACACTCAAACATGGAATGATAGTCTCTATGTAATTTATGGCCATGTATACCCCAGTCCACACTGAGAGGATAGATTTCAGATGAGATAAAAGAAAACAGCACTAAAATGCTGTTTCCAAAACCCCTGCACTGAAGAGTTAAGGGAACTCCAGAACACCACAGGCACACTGATAAAAAAGAACAGCACGGCAATGGCCTAGAAAGGCATGAATGCACCAGGCACCTAAAAATATTACATAACACTCAACATTTTCTTTTCACTGTCTTCTCACAGACCAGTTGTGATCTGTATTTCTCTCAGCTTGCCACTTCTTTCTTTCATTCCAGTGCTCAAAGCTGTGCTAAATTTCCCAAGGGCTCATCACTCAGTACGCAAGCCTGTTTCAATGTGCTCGTGTGTCTGCTGTAATAGCTACTTCCACAAATAAACCACACAAAATTCCTAACCAGTCTACAGCTACACGAGAACAGAAGAATTACTAAAACCAATGAAATATACTAAACAGCCAACCACAGTTTCTACAGCAATTTAGCAGCTACATCATTTGTCATGCAATCAACTGATTTAGGGGGTTTGCAGAATTTATCGTATTTCCACAAATGAGAAATAAAATTAATCCCCTATTCTTGCATGCTTTCCACAGTATATTACAGGGATTAAAATGAATGTAATACACTCTAATAGAACAGCACTTTAGAAAAAGAGCTAAACTTTGATGCAATCTTTCATAACCGATTTGGTCATATACATACATACATATTATCTATAAATTCATATTTTACACAAATATTTATATAGCCATACCCTAGGAATGGAAGCATTCAGACAGTACAGCTCAGCAGAGAGTAGAACTGATGTACTGCACAGAATTTTAAGATCAACAAGTTAACTTCTAATATGGAAGCAACTCCTGAAAGCTATAAACACTTGTCAAAATAAGATTGCTGAAAAACCAGCATGAATCAAGCTATTAACTGCCTTTGGTTTTGGCATTACAAAACAAAGTAAAATATAAGACTAATAATTAAAATATTTCTTACCTGACCAATAAAAAAAAAACAAAAACAAACTTAATTTCTGCATCATCTTTGCCCTTCCCCTAGTTCTTGAAACTGTATTAGTGTTTTGAAAGTACTCTAGTTTGGGGAAAAGTATATTTTCCTGAAAATCATTTATCAAAAATGGAATTCAATTCTTTCCACTATAAGAAGACAACCAACATTTATATTAATCTTACAAACCACCCAAAATCTTCCACTTCAAAGTTACAAATTCAAGTGGGACAAACAAGACTTGCTCCTTCCAGCCTTCACATGAAATGTTCTCACTGAGGTTTGTTGGGATTTTTTAACTAAAAAAAAAAAAAGTGAAACTTAAGCATGAAATAAAGAACAGAGGATGCTGAAAAAAAAAAAAAAAAAAAAAAAAAAAAGACAAGGATGGAATTTGACTTAAAGGTAGATAATGAGATGGATTTTTTTTTAAGCTGGATAAAGATCTAGCTACTAAGCTCCTAAGTTCCAAAAAGCTCTATGGCCTATTTTCTCTACTTGTTTCAAAGTCATGCCAAAAGGCCCAGGCACCTGGCCTGATGAAACAGATTTCCCCAGAGGTTGCACATGAGCAGCATTCCCTCAGCCATGTGCCCCATAACACGGGCAATGACACACCCCATGTCAAACTGGGGCCATAATAAAATGGGAATGTGCTGGGAGCCCTGCCAGACTCAAACCCTGTGCTGGAAGCAGACACCATCCCTTCATCTCCTCATTGCCATTCCCCCTCTAACCTAATTCATTTCCTCCCAGCATTTATACTGTTTATCTTTTCATGCCTCCCAAAACAGGTAATACAATTCAATTTTTACAGTCATTTTTATATTCCTATTCCCACTGATGCAATCACTACCTTGAAAATCTTGCTGTGAATTTGAACAAGGTAATTTTGGCAACAAAAAAGCCTGCACAGACATTTGGTATTCTTCTTATACAAATCTGGGGTCAAAACTGAGTTGGCACCATACCTTTCATGATTTTTGTTTTGACTAACAGCTTTCTAAATTTAAATGATAAATTATTTTTCCAAAATTGACTTCATTTCATTTTTGTTTCAAATGATGTCAACCCATTTATTTTCAAACAAATCTATAAAGGGAATGGTGAGTTTCTCACATGTTGGACTAAATACATTTGCCTTTTATTAATAATGAATTTTTCTTTTTTAAATGCAATAGAAACAAAAATTTCCAACTACCCCCTTAACCCCCTGATTTAAAAACAAGATTAAACTAAAAGTAAAAAGCCTAAAACCAAGATTAGCCTTCTGATAGCAATATGTCACAAGGAACTTGACATGTTATATAATGCACTATATGTTTTCTTTGGCTCAGATTCTTTCACCTGTTCTCCCCTGGCATTGCTAGCACTACCAGATGGATCCATTTTAGATTTAATTAATTCACTCTGTCTCCTAGGATTTCCAAGAAGTAAAGCACTGACAAGAACCCTGGTCCTTTCCTTTCTTGGATACAGAAAAAGAATCTAGACAGAGAGAGATTTTCCTTTTAAGAACCGAATACAACATTCATAAATAAATCTCAGGAGAACACGTGCTGCTCAAAGAAGCTAAAAATAGTAAAACCAACAAGCCACCAGTACGTTTAAGTGAGAACCTTCCTAGAACCTAAAAGATTATTCTTTACATCCAATGTGGATACAAGAACTCAAAAACTGTGTTTGGTTTTTTTTTTATGTCATTGAAGCAAGCATATTCTGAGTGCACATAAAGTGAATATCATGCCCTGCATTACTGAACTAGACACAATCCCTCCTCCTTGTCATCAGCTTTCATTCCCTCCATCATGTTATTTTTCCCTTCCTAAAAATTCAATATACTACAGGTAAAATTTCATCCCATCAAAATTAAAGTGTTTTTTTTTTTTAATTCCTTTTTGTTCTCTGCTCATATAAAAAATAAATCTTCACAGGAACTTGGAACAGGACAGGAATTTGTAACTACCTGTAGCTCTTAAAAATAGTAACTGCTCTAAAGGACTCAAACTACATTCCCTTCATAAGGGGAGAGTGGATGCATGTTAATTAAATAATGTGCTTATCTTAATCACCAGGTTGCTTTACATGGACTGGGAAATACCAGTTCTTTGACTGTCCTCCTCCTTATTATCTGCTTTTACATCATAAGATGCATGGGGCAGAGGCTCACTCCTTTGTCAAAGCTGGTAAGAGGATCTGGCATAACTAAGCCAGCAAAACCAGGTGACCTCTCAGAACACCACAATAGAAAAATCGTTCAGATCTTCTAAATTGCCAAGTTAAATTTTGAAGGCACAGTCCTCCTTGTGGCGGGTGGAACGTTTCACAACGACATCCTAGAGCTCCAGTAATGAATTTTCCCACTTGCACAAAATGCTACAAAAAGCATAAGCCTTTCAGCCCTCTAAACAGAACTTAAATGATGCCGAAGCATTGACACACAGCACGGGCATTAGTTTTACTTAAAACGTATCATTACAAAACACAAACCAGCTTGCATCACTAGTAAGTGATGCCAATTCTCCAGGGTCTGTCTCCATAACAGATACACTGCATCTCTTCTGATATTAACATATTTGCACAAAGTTTTAGCTCCAAACGTCACACAACTAAACAAGAATCTTAGGTTTTCACCTTCAGAAGTCTGGTGAGATGTAGAGCATTAACTCCAGACTACATAATCTAATCAAATGCTTGAGGCCAGAGGACAAACAGAAACAACCTATAATTAAATTCTGCAGCCTATAATGATTATTTTTAAAATTGTCTTCTATAAAAGTAGTATTTGCTACAAGATCTGCACCGAATGATTTTTAAAAAAAATTTAAAATAATTGATTTGTAAGGGTTTGGGCTTGTTTAAGAGAAGAATGAATCACAGATATTCTGAGTTGGGAGGGACCCACAAGGATCATCGAGTCCAGCTCTTCAGTGAATGGCCCATACAGGGACTGAACCCACAGCCTTGGTGTTAACACTGCACCCTGACCAACCGAGCCAATCTCAGTGGCTTTAATCATCTAATGCTTTAACTTGATGGTCTTATAAATTATCAGCAAGCAGCCAAATTAACCCAAATCAGCTGACAATGTAAAACCAGGCATCCAAGATCCAACAGCAATATAATTAAAGGGGTGAAGAACCCCCTATACTTTCACTGACGTTAAGAGCCAAAACACTGCTATGGTCGTAAAGCTCAGAATCTGCACTGTCATTTTCATCAGCTCTTGGAGCACATTCTCATTTACCTATAACCAGTAGAGCCATCAATTTTAACTCGTATTTATTTTCCATAGAAGTTGTAGCAGTAACCCACACTTATACCATTTAAAATCCGAAGAGTATATTACAAATCAATGGAAATTACACC